ACTATCTACATAGCCAGACACCATGACAGGTGAGCACAATAAATTGAAAAATATCAATGTGAACTTCCCTAACCTCAGATTAATTGTTATTGTAACAATCCTTAAATCCAAGTCCTTTTCCTGAAACAGCCCCTTGATAAAGTGAGGCCTTGTCGATTTCCCTCTTGTCCCTGTCTTAGTGAAGAACACACACGCAGGCACACTCTCATTTCTTCCAACCACAGTCTCTGTGTCTCTTCCTCACTGCCACCACACTTTCTTTCTTTTCCCAACAGGCCACTGCTGGAGAAACTCAACTCTAGATTTTGATGGAACAAGTGCCTCCCTCTCTTCTTCTTGTCCCTTCCACACTGATTCCTAAAGCCCAGCCTGAGCCCAGCAAGTCTTGGCAAAAGCTGCTGTCTTGGAACAACATCCCCAACCCCCTCCTCTCTCTGTCTTCCCTTTCTCCTTTCTTATGAAAATGTGGAAAGAGCAGATTGTAGCCAGTCCGTCCACATTTCTGGATTCCTAAGATGACGAGTTCTCATCCATCACTGTCCGGGAGTGGCTCATTGTCACCGAGCGGCCCCGCGTTGAGCATTGTCTTTCCTGTTGCTCTGTGGCCTACAGTAAATTACACCATTGCTCATCAGTCACTGAACACGACATCAGAGTCTTAAATCAGACACAACAGCCAGGATCCCTCAACAACGCTGCTGTATAAATCATCACAGTTGGGTTTCTCTTTGGAGAGGAAACAAGAGAGACATTAATGGTAAAGGAAATCCAGTTAAGTATCTTGTTAGTCAAAAATATGAAAACAGCCATGATAGAAATCTTTTTTATCACGAACATACGTCAGATCTTTCTACCTTTCTACCTCAAGAAATCCAAACATTCTTTTTTTTTTTCCACATTAAGATTACTTTTCTTCCATTCACCTGGACAACTCCAGAGCTCCTTAAGTGCCACTAAACTCTCCGGGATTCAATAACTGTCTGGCACTCGCTGTGACCTAATTTGAAAGGCCCTCAGGAGCTTAGTGGCTGCCGTCAAACGCTGCTATTTTCTTTGAACGTATTTCTAAGAAAAATATGTGTGGAGCAGCACCCAACTTATAAATAAGTCACTTTAATGCTGTAAATGAAAGGAATGCAATGAAAAAGTAGTACCAAACAAAAATATATAATTAATTTTAACCATGGTGTTCTTAATTTTAATCACTTTGGTAATCCCTTAACATTTCATGTAGCACTATCATCAGGTCAAATGTTTTATTTACTTTTGTAAATGACCAGACTCCTGCACAACTAATGATATTCCCATCAGCATCAGCTGCCCTTTGTGTTTTATTGGTAATCACTAAACTGAGACAAACATGATCTGCTAAATATTTTAGCAAATACTGGCATGGCTGGAGACTCGCAGTCTTGTTTATCAGAATTGTGTTAATTATCCTAATCTTATTTTAACAGATAAACTTTCGAAAGCGGCGGCACATAAAAATCAAATTATTGGAAACTTGCTGGTGGGCACTGACTTGCTTTCAGCTACTGATACTTTTCCACATCAACTGAAGCATTGGCAAGCTTTTACATCCACCATCAGGTCACTTTACTCAGCTGTATAAGTCCATAAAGGAGAGAACCTGAGAAAATGTACCACTGTCAGCCTCATGTAAAATGTCTAACTGAGATCTCTTAGTCCCCATCCGCAGAAACGTTGGGAGTTATTTGGCGTATAATGATCTATATGATATCAGACAGGGCGAAATCTGGTACGGAGCTAGAAGAAAAACATTGAACCAGATTCCTGCCATTTAATATCCCATTAAAGGGTAATTTGGCATGAAACCCCTGGCATGTGTGATGGAATTCTACTGCTCCTTGTGTTCAATGAAATTCCCCACAGGCTTTGGACTGTAGGTGTGTGTGCATGTGAGTGTTTGCACTGGATGTGGGCGTGCGTGTGTGCTTGTATCAGGCCTGTGAATGGTACATTAGTGTGCCTGTGCAAGTGTGCGAGTCCTTTCAAGCCAGCAGAAGTGTAGTTTTCCACTGGGGTAAATCTACACTCTCCATCTCCTGCCACGTCTGACTGCCCTCTGTAGTCACAGATAACACTGCGGGCTCAGGCTGCGGCTACAACAGCCAACTGGCCCATTAATGGACTTTTAGCCAATGAGAAGATGGTTGCCAGGCACGCCACTTTTGCTTTAGCCAATCAAAATTGTTCAACAGGCAGGAATTCGGCAAAAGAATGTGCCAAAAGGCACCGTTTGTGCTCCTTCTTTCAAGTTCAAATTCATTTTCTTCATCACTGACTGAAAATTGACATTTTGTCATTGTCAAAACGAAATTGTGTGGAACATTCACAGAGCTTAAATCTGATTTATTCTGTTTAACTGATACAGATTTATATGAAACCTACTACTCAGGGAAACATTTTTCAATTATTATAAAAACACAATAAAACTGTTTGTAAAAGAGGAATGTGTTCACTACAAAAATATCTGGAATGTGTAGCCACAGGAGCAAAAAAAAACTGCAGAGGAAATGATGCAAACCCAAGCTTAAAATGATTTCTTTCTGCCTCCCTCTTTCATTTGCTCTGTCTGCGTCGGCGAGATCACATGTGGAATTAAAATTTCATTTTCTTGACTTTTCTTTGTTTCGTTTCGATTGGATTGGAGGGCCCCAGCAGGTGTTCGATCCCATGAGTCAACACCGCCTCGGAGAACTTTCCATGTGTGGATTCAAAAGCTTCTCTTGCATGTAACAGAGTAACACGTCTGTAAAAGTGCCAGAGCCCAAGAAATCCAAGAGGCAGACGTCAGCGCCAAGAAATTATATTAACCATGGAGATAAAATAGTTACTCTCTATTAAAAACAGCAGGCCAGCCAGGTGATTTTTTTGGGATTTCTCTTATTAAAATTTGGTAGAGAGGGAATTATAAGTCTCACTTGGTCTATCCATCTCGCTCTTTCTTTCTCCATCTGTGAGTCCCAGCAGGTGCTTCGATGTGAAAAAACCCGATGTTCGTTCAGGTCACAGGGTTTTAAGTTTTTCGATCAGGAGGACTGTAACTGTCGCAGCCGTTGATGCATTTCATACAAACCCCACACATATCCCCACCCTCCTTCACGCTCAGATAATATGAAACACATTTGTCCATAAGAGGAGCTTTGAATGAAACAATAAAATCTGCTCTTCCCCCATCCTCCGTCACTCCATCACCTACACCTTCAAATCCGCCCCCTCCGGGTCCTGTCTGTGCTCAGCAGAAAGTGAAAACATTACTATTGGTTATGAAGTCTGCTTGAACAAAGGCCCAGTGTTCTCAGCTGAGGAAGAACTTGGACAGATCTGGCCCTGATTGTTCACAGCTCAGACGACTTGTGAGCCGAGGCGTCACAAAAGTCTTTGCAGCACGCAGAGTCGTGTGATTTGCAAGGGCCTGACACAAAATTCACAGTTAGGAGAGCATCAGTGTCAGTTACACCGCTGTAAAACATTTCAAGCTGGTTCAATTTAAAAAAGGAAAAGGTCTCCCTGCTGCCTTGAAAATGTGAATTAACTGAACTCAACTCAAGTTCTAGAAATGTATGGCAAATGTATGTTCTTCATATTACAAAAAGTGTCTCTACAGAGTTTTAACGCTACATACTGGGAATTCAACTAATTTTAAGAATTTTGATTTTACTCATTATTTCAAGCCCCAAGACTTCATATCATGTTTAAAAGTTCTTAAATTGTCTAAAAATAAACAAAAAATGTACATATTTACATCAAATTAATGGCAAACTATTAGTTCATTTCACTTAATTCTTATATGTTTTACAGTCATTACATCCCATGGATAACATCAATATATCTGCTCTACATTTCCTATATCATATTACAATTGGTGTCGTTTTTTTTTACTTGAGTTGGTTGTTATTGATTCTGAAAAGTTAAAATGTTAAAATTACCTGCAACAAAGATGCCCTAAATAAAAACACATGGCAGTGATAAAGTCTTTAAGATGACTTTTTTAAAGGATTATTTCCTTCCAGTTGGTATGAAAACCGATTAGCAACATATTGTGCTAAAACACAAAATACATAAGCAAAACAATAGTAGCTTTGACAAAACCAAAGAAACACTTTATCTGGCTTTATCTCACCCTGGAATGTGTTTTTCATTCTGTAGAAAATGATGACAGAAAACTTCCAGCTCAACTGACCATGAGAACATTGGCAGCATAATGTACACGACAAGTGACCTATATCAAGAGAGTCAACTTTGTTTTGCCTGACTTAAGATATTTTTTCCCATTTTTACTTTTCTTAAAAGGTGATGTTCACTTTGTCTAAAAATAAAAAAGTGATGCTTTTAGGTCTCACACACACAGTGTTTGCCAAAACACAAACACAGCCCGTTAGCCTTGCCCCTTCTCTCTCAGCAGGACCTCATGGCAGGATCAAAGGTATGCCAAACGGTAGTCTGAAAGTGAGCATGTTCCACATGGCCTTGTTGTGTCTGGCCTGCTAACGCCTGGCTGGGGGGAATTCCTTCTCTGTTTGGCTGGAGTGGGTGAGTGACAGCCAGTGTGCTTTGTGAGTGTGTGAAGTGTCAGTACATGGGCTCTGCCGTGGATATGTGAATGTGTATTAGTGTGTTTTGGACACACTGGGCTCCGCTTAAATCTAATACAACACTTTCTTAAAGGCTTCAGGCCCTCTTTACTGCATATTTATTTCAGTAGTCACATGAATCACATTTGGCAACAGCAAACACCATATTAAATAAAAGTAGGGAGGTGGAAGAAACCAGTGTGAGAAGGCAGTAGCAGTGCAATATAGAAAGAGAGGCAGGAGGAAGGACTGAGAGGCCGACAGTTGGAAATAATGGACCAGCTGCAGGAATTAAAACAAAATGTGCAGATGGAGGGGACAAAAAAAGAACAAAAGTGAAGGATGTCGTGTGTGTGAAGGAGACTCTTGAAGGGAAAGAATGCAAGAAATGTGGCTCCTTACCAGCCCGATAAACAAAGTTCGCCTCAGCCTCAGAGGAGGATGGCGAGAGCAGCTCATCGTCGTACTCGTTGGAGCTGAAGGAGCCGGAGTGGTTCCTCTTGCGAGCATCCATGACGGCGTTGGCCACCATGACGTGGCGCAGCGAGTCGTTCAGGTAGCGGTGCAGCAGGCTGCTCTTGTACTTGGGTGGAGACACGTAGTCCTCAGCCAGGGAGGCAGCCTCAGCGGCTGAGCGCAGCCCTGCTCCCATACCCATAGCCATACCCATGCCCATGGCCATGCCCACCATGGAGGAGCCCTCCTTCTTGATCACGCTCTGGTACATAGGCTTGTTGAGCTCCTCGGGGCCGCTCTGTGTCCTCTGAGGGTTGTCCCCATCTACATCATCAAGGGGCAGAATCATAAAAAAAAAAAGAATTTAAATGCAATGCAGAGATGTGTTTGTTTCCTAGTATTTTTACTTATTCACAGTCTTGTATTGTCTAAGTTTTCCTATTTCTGGGCCTTTTCTGCTCACCAGTAACTCAAAAAACATTATATAACACATACTGTTCGTATTCCAATTTCTGTGTAACTGTATGTAGTTCAAATTTTAATGTTTTTTTTTAAACATTTAAAATTTAAGTGTTCACTATTACATGTTGATCAACTGTGAATACATTCATTCTGATGACATGTACAGACTGAGTTAAATACTGTAATGCATACAATCACACACATTTTCTTCAGCAAATGCTTCTTCAGTTTGAATGATTTTTCTAACTTCTGTGTATTGCATGTCCATCCCCACTGACTCAGAGTCTGAGTTATTTTGAGCTAATCTTGAATCTAAATACCAGGGTCGGGAGATTTCAACCTGGCACCCCTGCCCTCCGGTTGGCATTGCCTCAAGAGCAGAAAGCCCAGCCGAGACTTAAGGCGCATTACCAAACCATAACGGATGGTAGTCTATTTCCTCTCCATCAAGAGCACTACGCACGTCTATTTCTGCAGAAATAAATTATTCCAAGGGTGCTCTGTGGCCAAAGAGATGGAATTAAAGTGCAGGTTTCTACCTGATGAAAGAAATGGGGAGGAAAGATAAAACACTGTATTGAAAAAACAGATATCCTCTGGCAGGAGGGAAATCAAGGAGAGGTTCGCTCTAGATACTCTCCCTGCCAAGACCGTAATTGTGTAATTTGGGCAGGTTGGACCTTTGATTCAGGCTGGGCCAAATTAAAATTATAGCTCCTACATATCAGAAACACATGGAGGGAGCGTAGTTGCTCTCCTTTCACTGTGCTGTCTGAGGTAGAATTTAACGAACAATTCAGCATCTCCTCTGAAACCACACAAGACACACTAAATCTGATCTGTCCTACATCCGACACCTTTTGAAATAAATAATAAAAATACATTTTTCAGACCTACAGAGACTTGTATGCAGTACAGATTGTAAAGCCACTTGAGGCAAATTGTAATTTGTGATATTGGGCTTCATAAATAAAACTGACTCGACTTGACTGGACTATTTCAGGACAGTAAGAGGAATGTACGCTGAGTCAGTGGGGTCAGGTCTGGCCCCATAAATAGCCTCTGGAACAAAAGAATAGGCTTAAAAACATAATGGAGGGCCTTTTAGAACATAGGTCAGAAGTGGGAGCAGGCTGCGGATAGCTTCATAACCATAATGTGACAGGGAGAAGAGTCAGGGAGATATACAGAGCCTCCAGTGGTACAGTGGCCTGTGGCGGACACAATGCAAACACCACGCACACATTCCTCTTTCAGCCGCATGCTCAGCCTCTCCAATTTAATTAGAGATCACTGACACCACAGCACTCGTCCTTTCTGTTCACTTTTTCACTGCCTGAGTATCTATGTTTTCTATATTTTTTGTTTCCTGACCATGTTTTCAGTGCTGTCAGTGAGCAGAAAAAGGCAGTTGCTGTAAATACACGGCTGACAGAGAGCTACTCATTTCCAATTGTAGGCTCGGAGACAGAGGTTGGCTCAGCGGGGTGTCTTAATGACAGCGTGTTGCAGCCCGCCAGCCTCTGCTTCTCCCGGCTGGGTCACACACCCGCCATTTATACACATCCAAAACATGGCTCTGCATAGCATCAGCCCGCTTTTGGTGCAGGCGCAAGGGGAGATGGCCTGGCCTTTCGCCTCACTTCATGTCATAATGCTAGATTTGGATTTTGGGGGCACAAGACGTGTGATGTAAGGAGATTTTCCTGCTCACTCTGTACAAAGAGCATCAGATTCGTACCAAAGTATGTGACCAATTTATGATGTGATATATTTTAAGTGATCACCAAACCGCTACGTTTTGCATCACCCTCATTTCCACTATAAACAAAGTCTTTATTTTTTCACTTTCTGTGTGCATATGTATATAAGTAACTGTATACATTGTTTTGTTTCATTTTATTCTTTTGAAATTAATAAAATTGAAATATTTGTATGTATGTCCAGTGTGTATGAAGTGTGAAGGGGCTACAACTTCATTCATTGTGCAACCCTGTGTTCTAAAATGACAATTAAATGAACCTTGAACCTTGATCATCCATCAGTGCAATGGATAGAGCAGTTACACAAATGAAAACGTTTTCCATCATGCTTGTAAAATAAACGCCTGTTAAGTCTGAAAATCTGATTCAGATTCAAATGCAGATTCAAGGATACTAATGTAGCTTTAACTTTTATCCAGAGCAAGTATCAATAGAAGAGAACTGCAGGATAAACCCAAACTTCCTAGGTCTTCATTACAAGTAACCATAACCTAAAGAGGTCAAGGGTCACAGACAAAAATGTGATTACTAACACTGCTGTTTTTGAAATTAGTTAGAAGTGCTAAATAAAATTGGGCCCCTGGGCAAATATAAACTCTGGCCCCCGCTAATCATCTGCTCCTCCTGATCTCTATACACTGGGCACTACATATACTGTAGCTTCATTACAGTTTGCCTAGAGACCCAGATGCCAACTAGTACTCCTAATTTACTAACTCGTGGTAGCAAACTTATTAAACACAAACGTATGTAGGAGTATCATATACTTGAAATAATAGGTCTTAGAATTACGGTTTGACACAGGGCCCCTCTACAAGACAGAGCCTCAAGATTAGGTAGTCATCATCACCACCCTAAGGCCCTCATAAGTTCACTTAATGCTGTTATTTATACCATGGGGAGAGAGAGGCGGTTTCCGTGTGAGAGAAAGGGTGATACGTAACCTTATCTTTGCTGGAAAAACTGTTTTAGTAGTGCACTTCATAAAGTTGTGGGACAGGAGGAGATTAAATAGAATGGTAGAATCTTAGCAGCAGATGGTCTCTGGTATGGGTCAAGCTCCCAAAATTGCTGTATACTACAATTCCCATAATGCAACACAAGAGAGTCTTTCATCAAACCCTCCTTGGCTCCCACTGTATGTGCCCACTTCTTTCAAAACCCATAATTCCTGTTTGTAGAGCAGACTTTTGAAGAGTTGGAGACGACAGAAACCTCTTTCAACCTGGAACGGCACTTTGAAGAGAGAAGGAGTTAAAGCTAAGGTGCCGTGGAGCCGTACCTTCAGAGCAGCTGTCGTCACTGCTAACGCTCAGCCTCTCTGCGTTGCCCTGAACGTATTTGTTGTAGAGCTTGATCCTGAGCGCCCAGCTCAGGTCTGGCTGCCTCACCGTGTTCTTCAGCCGCCTCCTTGCATTAGCAAACCAGTTGGAGACCTGAGAGCAAGAGAAATAGAAGGAAGGGGGAAGACACAGCAAATAGAAACATGTGTCATTGTTTTGATTCCAAACACCTCTACATCCATAGCAAAACAAAGACTATCCTTTATGAAAACGTCTGCGCTCTGCCTGCCATCAGTCTCATTCAGAAAAATCAGGAGAGACTCGAGGCAAAAGACAGAAACAGAGTCAGGTTGCAGAGCCTCTCTCTGAAATTGAGCTTTAAGAAACATCCCAGACGCTCCAGAGAGACACCCCAGCATGCATCTTTTCTGTATCAACGCCATGTAGAAACATTTAACACCCTCCAAAACGCCAAACGGCCAGCAAATGCAACGTTTCATTTACTAATGTTCCGACCGAGATGTACGTCCCCCGTGCTTATTCTGGACTCGCACAGCCTCCCTCCATAATACATTTTTTCCAACACTGTCTTCAAGATGCAATAAAAAAGACACTTGAGCCAGCGCTCTTCCTTTAACTGGGAAGGGAGACCATTAGATGTTATACTAGAAAAACTTTTCATGCTCAATAGACTTCAAGCGGCTTACAAAGGGGCTGGGACAGGAGCCTTATGCTAGAGTACTTATTTTTCTGATCCCCTCTTTCAGTATCGCATTACTCGTTAACTAAGACCATCCCACATCCCTTTGTCTCCAGCCCAGCGCTGTGACACACAGCGGGGAAAGTAGCATCAAGTACATGTGGCTTGGCCGGAGGGGAGGGGAGGCAAGGCAAGGCGAGGTGAGGCGAGGCGAGGCGTGGGACAGCTCGCTAATGAGGACCGGAGGAAAGATGGCTGTCAATGGGGTGAGAGAGAAGAGACAGGATGGCACGCCTGCTCAGATGACACCCAGACAGATTAAAAAAGGGGGGGACCCAGCAGCCAAACCACTCTTTCACCCGTAGCCTGTCTGTACTGCATGTACCGTAGAGGAGACGGCATGCAGGCACGGCGAGGGATTTCAACGGTGATGGACTATTAGCACAAACCTTAAAGAAATAATTTACAACATTTACATGGAAAAGATGGGCTGTTTTGCTAAAACATGACAGATTTAGTTGCTTCAAACACCTGGTGCCAGGTGGGTGTTTCCAGGGAAAAATGCACAGGAAGTGATGCGTTCTACATTACTGGCAGCGACAGCAGTGGACTAAACAGTGGAAGAACTAGGTAGTTCTCAGCCTCCATGAATGGACAGCAAGGAAAATGCCACCTAGGGCTGCAACTAACAATTATTTTCAAATAATAATTACAGAAAATAGTGAAAAACACAAATCACACGTTCCAAGATTGAAGCAAAGGCGATGTCTGTAAATTGCATGTGTTGTCTGACCATTAGTCCAACACCAAAAGATATTTTATTTTTATGTAATTTACAAAGAATACATACATACATACATAAGAAGACAAAGACAAACAGAGATGAGCAGCATATTCTTAGATTTGAGAAACTAGACAGCAAATGTTTTACCAACAGAAAATCAAAGGGCAATAAAAAAAAAATTACTCCTTCATGTTGGAAAATGTTATGAAAATAATTTACCTGCCTGTCATCACCCTCGCTCACTTTCAAGAAATCACCCGCTGACCTTAGACACTGCTGCTGCTGGTTTTTGGGTGTCAACTTAAATGTATGCGTGTGTGAGGTTGGGAGTGTGTGTGTTCGCAGCACAGCATCCCGGTGTCCAACACAAAGCATTCCTCTGCACTCTGCTCGCCCTCACCAAAACAAACAGCTCCATCAGGCTCCCAAAATGAGAACCAGATTAAGCATCATGGCCGGCAGCCCGAAAAAGCCGCTGCAGACTTTTTTGAGGCTGTATCAGTGACCTTGTCAGCCAGATGATACTGTACATACACAGTGCAAGTGCCAGACACAAAACACACTCATATTCACCGCCGGGTTTTCCTCTCAACGGTCAGTTTGTCATGTGCTAAAATCAAGTTGTCCGCTGTACTCTTGAATTATCAATGAGTGTGCAATAGAACTTAAAGCACTTATAACTACAGTATAACAACACAAGTGGTTCCCAACCTGCAGGTCAGAACCATAAAGATGAATATGTGGATTAAAGAGACAAACCAAAGAAGGAAAAATAATTTAATACATTTCTGCTGCACAAAATTTGTTTGTTTTTTTTCTAGGTTTTTGATTTTCCTGTTAAATTCTGAATAGTTTAGCCTGTTCATGCATATAAAATTTACAATATTAATAAATACAATCACTTTTTAGCCACATGATTTTGATGATGAGAGTCATCAAGTAGAAACTGACATATAAAAAAGATTGGGAACCACTGACCTTGATAACTTCAAATTTTATTTCATTTTTTTTCACATTTAAGTGAATAAAGAGAATGAACAGAATTGCCAACTCTAACAATTGGAAGAAGGTAGAAATTATATGAACTACCACTGCACCAGCGCTGTAAAATAAACAGCACAAGGTGTAAAAACACTTTCTACTCACAGCCTAATAATTGCAAAATACAAGTCAAAATCCAGCTTTTCAGATCTGATTCTCCCGAAACTCAACCGCAGACACCCAATTTCATTTCTTCCCTCACTGATCACACTCATGCCTGCATGAATACTAAGAAATACTTCACATTTCTCAGTTTTTTTAAGCGTAACTTATTCTTTATCATCTGCAGCAGCAGGATGGAAGCTATCAGAAAGTGGACTTACCTGGACCAGGGTCATTTGCGAGCCGAGAGCCAGTAGGATTTTCTCCGTCTTGGTGGGGTAGGGGTTGTCTCGGTGCTTGTAGAGCCATTGCTTGAGAGGCCGTGCCATGTCCTGCAGAGCCTGACGCTTGTGTCGCACTTTACCGCCGCTGGGACGACCCCTGTGGAGGAACAGGTAGAATAATGTCAGGCAGATACCAAACTGTAGACTACAGCAAATTACAATACTATTACAATATTTTATATAAATGCACACATAAAACCTGGATAGTCCATAATTATGTAGGTGATTTAAATCTAAACCTGGACTTTTTGTTCTTTTCTATCTAGAACATTTATTCTTTTTAAAAAGTTTTATTTTTTAATTTATAATCCGCTTCTGTGTAAGAAGGATGATTTGACATGTACCAATTCTGCATTTGTCAGTGAAATCATTCACATATCCATCATGTGTGTAAAGAGTCCAGATCAAAATGTCTCCTTTTTCAAATTAAAGCAAAGTTTGTTTTTTCAGCCATAAAAGAGAACCAGGTTTATGTTGTTTATTGAAGTCAACCAAACACTGTTGTGCAGCTGCAAGTGGAGTCCTGAGTGGGCCGGCATGTTGACTGAATTTGTTAGTCATGACACATAAAGTGAACACTCTATATAGTATACAATTTTCTCACCCAAAGCATTGCAATTAAGCTTAGAGATGTTGGATTAGAGGAGAGAAACACATAGAGACTCAGCAAGAGAGAGAGAGAGACTGAAGCAGGCAGGGAGAGAAATAAATGGCCACTCACAGTTTATTTTTCATTGCGTGTCCCACAAACCGCCAACACGTTGCAGTGAAACAAACAAAAACATTTCGCTCAGGAGCACATTTCTGCCAGATTAACATTTCACACCCCGGGAAAAGTGGATCAAGAACAATGTAGCTGGGTCACAGTCCCGGCCAAGCCATCACACAAGGGGCTAACAAAAAACTGAAATTATACTTCTGGTTTTCCTTTACAGAAAAGGGATACGATACATGTCCAGAGGATGCTATAAAAACATCACAGCAGGAATATATTATGGGGTGGAGATAAAAAAAATACAGATTTTAAAGTCCCAAATCAGCAACTCAGTGTTGTGTACAGCTACAAACAGCCCTCGTAAGAATACTGTAGGGATATTTTACACAACAAAACAACACAAATCACTATAAATGTATTACTGAACACTGTGAGTTCCCAAAATAATACTAAAACATTTTTCATTCATGTTTATCTAAAGCAGCCTGTTTTCCTGCTCTGTGAAGGATTCAGTCTCACCTTAGCTCCAGGTTTTATGAACCTGTAGATGTCAGTATGGCGCTGTGCTCTGCTTCTCCCTTTATCTCACCAAAAAGCTCCACTGACTGCAGATGTAACATATTTTAGTCTAACCTCAAGGTTCATGTTCTACAAATATTTTCCTTGTAATCTAGATCAGTAAGAACATCCGAAAGGACATTTTACTCTATGTTCTGAACTTTGGTTTAAACACACACAAACACACCTCTGTTTAATAATTGAATGTTCTTCATTAGTACTGACTGCTTTCCCTGAGGTGACACCTTGCAGTCACATAAGTTCACTCACTCATAATACTCTTTCTCATTATTGAAGAAATGAGAAAGACCTTAAAAGCCCACTGATTTCCCTCTGTTCTCTCACTCAAATGTGCCTAATAAACATGCAAATAATACATAATAAATTGAATTACATGATATTTTCTTACACCTGCCCCCTGCCACATAAAGGAAAACAAAACGAAATTTAATATACATTTAAAAAAAACAAAAAAAAACACTTGGTCTTCATGTGATTGACTAGACCACACAGACAGTTAAATGGGGCTATTATTTATTGGAAACAGATGGAGACCTCTATAAGACATGCTACCGAACACGGCTGACCTACTTATTAATTTTAAGATTAGCTGTGAACATCAACACCTAAATGAAGAACAGATTGGGAAACGGTAAATATGGATACCCTGATCCATAAGATCCTGTTGCGTTAAAGCCACATGAAAAAAAAGTCAGACTGGATAATCAAATTGGCGTTTCAGTCTTGAAATGTAAAGCATAAGTAGTTATAGTTTTAGACCTAGAAAATACTTTCCATGTGGATATTGTGTGTGTAACTTTCTGATTTTTGTGCGTACCTGTGAAATTTACGCACAGCTGCAGAAACTATTTTATCAATTCGAAACTGAATGAAGAGCACTGTATTCTAACTCAACGATGCTCATGCATATATATAAAACACCAATGTCATTTTATAGGAATTTCACCCAAGAAGCCCCATCTGAGCTTGATATTCCTCATCATGTCTTAGTTTTGCGCACAAGGTGTAGAGAGAACCACAGAGCTCCGATTGCAAAACCACCATTGTTGTCCTCTCTCTGTGCTAACTTGTACTGAGTGAAATAGCCGTAAAACAGAGGTACTGCTCATCAGTAACCCCGGACTCCAGTTAATCCACATGTGAATAATAGGCCTACAGGTCACACATGCTGACCCGTTAAACACACAGCAGAATGCTCCACATACCCGCTCCGCCTGTGTCTGATGGCCTGGTTGTCTCTGATGGTCTGGTTGCTAGAGAGGAGGTCTGGATGTTGCCCGTCGATGACTTCTAGATAATTTCTGCTGCTCATTTCCACCTCTTTCGCCTTCTCCTCAAACAGGACCTGGCTGCTCAGCTTGTTAAACACAATGGTGTTCATCTTTGGCCAGCTATTTCCCGGACTTCTCTGATGCGCAAAAATGAAAAAGGAAAAAAAAATCTCCTCTGATTTGTCAGTGTCCCCGTGTCTCTCCTGTGGAACAGGTTTGGATATTTTTTACAAAATGAGTCTTTACATATGCTTAACAAACTGTAATGTGGTCGTAAACTAAAATATGACCTTTGGTCGGTGAAAATCATCTTATATCATCTCTAGATAAGCATAATAATAATATAATAATATTTGTCCTGGCAAGCACGCATTTCTCCGATAATTTATAATTTGACACCTTCACTCCGGTGTTTGTGATTAGGTTAACCTCCGCTGTGTGCCTGCACAGACGAATACACTGAATAAAACAGCCTGCAGACTGTTCTGAGCTAAGGCTGATCGTGTGTAACTGCGCTGTTGTGATGCGTCATTATAAGGTCGCTCTTTGTAAACACTTGCATCTGCAGTTCCAATTCATAACAAATGATTTCTTCAAAGCCTAAAGCATCCAAACTATCGCTATCAGTTAAGTGTGCACTTCATTCTACAGATATTTTTGGAAACGAGCAAAGAAAAAAGGAGGAAGGGTGCATCATGATTGTCAGGGAAGACAGCGGGTCCAGACTAATATGGGTAAATACATTTTATTTGACTCATACCGAGAATGTTTATTTTCCTATTCAGCTTCAAACATGTTTTTCTAGAACAAAATTTCAGTCAATTATATTTAATACAGTTTCACTCTATTTTCTAAAACAAATAAGGAGAACAGGGAACTTACCGTATAATCTACAATTCAGACTGGTGGTAGGCTATAGATTGCAAAAAATATCTTTTAAACGTGTTCTATATTTCCAGTTCAAGCATCTTGAATATTTCTACAGTGCGGTCGCGTGTCGCTGTAAACCTGGAATGGTTTATATTGTTTCGGCTCTCCCTTTTTAATGCAAAATAAACAAAGCCTGCATGGCCGCAGAAATGTGACATTTTGTTTTCCTCTTCAGTTTCAATTTAGCATTTCTCTGCACGTGTTGAATATTGAATCTGCAACGGGAAAAGACGCACCGTGATGTGGTGTCGTAAGCAGCAGCTAATATGTCACCACAGTACCATGTAATGATGTCCACTGAAACAAAAACATTAATCTGGCAGTAGCATATCTATATAACAGTATCTAGGCTATACAATATATTTAGGCTATTAGAAGAATTAAAGTCATGAATATTAATGACAGAATAGAGGGCAGTGTAAACTCAGTCCTGTCCATTCAAAGTTGAGTAAATTGGCTGTAGGTGGCTTTTTCCTTAACTACTTCTCTGGTTCCGAATCGTAAATAAACAGTGTGTGAGTGTGTCTCGTTACCTGTCCCGGGCCCCTCCTGCGTCTCGCTGTTGTGTAGAACAATAATCCTGTTTCCAGTCGCCCATTCCCTGCTCACATGTTCCCGTCCTGAGATCCTGAGCTCAAACCACACGGACCACCGTCTCCTCCTCCGCTTTATCCATCGGCCTGCGCCGCTCCGCCCGGGACTCTGAATATCTCACCCTGCTCATGTTTCCTAGTACACAGCCCGAGCCTGCGAACATACTGTTGATGGTTTACGCCGGTTCTGGGGCCAAGGCCAGCAGAGGGAAAAGAGAGGGAGGGAGGCATCACGCTGCAAAAAGTAGGCTGTCTAAAATCATTGAATCCATGGAGTTTGAAAAGGTTACTTTTCCTACAACAAATGTATCCAGCTGACAAGGGAAAACATCCCCAGTGCCAGGCTGGTCTCAGGGATTCTCCTGACACAAGTTACATTTTCTTCATAAATTACGCTCATGTTCTTTCTTGTTTCAAGTCTCGGCACCACTTTCCAATAAGCTACCCTTTATAAAGGTTTTATAAGTTAAAGTTGTTAGTTGGTCTAACTAATGGTTTTATTAACACTTATTAATTCACTGAATATTGTTTTATAGGTCAGTTAGCGTAGCTTAGCACTCACAAAAACACCAAACTCTCCATGATATCCAACTCCACCTACCAGCATCCATAATAGCCTACATTATATAATGTTTGTTTAATGTGTATAAAAACCAAAGTGTAAAAACATCAATTTCGACATTTCATGGGGTTTATGTGCAGCACTATTTCTTGGCTCTGAGCTGTTGCCCTGCAAAAAGTTAAGACTCCCCAACCCCAAAACAGTTCAGCACACAACCTCCTACTAAGATGTCAAATTGTTGTTATTTAGCCTACAGATTAAACAAACAAGGTACTAGGTGTTAAATTGTGAGTGGCACGGGTGCTGGCAGGTGAATTCTTATCAAATTACAGAAAACCTATTAACATGCAGTGATTTTAACTTGTTTAAGTGAAAACAACACTGGAACCAAGTAGAATCTTCTCGCCACATGTGCAGAATTTGTGACTTGCACTTGCACTTGGTGGAAGTGACATTTTTTACAGCCTCTGCACCATGCATGGAGACTGAATTAAACCTATCCAACAGGCTGCTGCAGACATACTTTACAGTGCAGTAAACCTGTTTTGGATGCTTGTAAAGACTGTTCCTTCACTGCATCACACCTCGGTCCTAAATAGTCTTGTGTCAGTATTACAGATGAAGGCTTTTGATGCAACAATAATTATTCCATCAGATTCAAACCAAACACAATCCAAGCTGGTTTTGGTAACATTCAGAAAAAAAGAGAGATTCTTACTGTATATAGCCATGCCACTCCTGATTACTCCTGATGCACCCTCTCATTGACTTCCATTAAAAAAGCTGTCGCATTATGGGCTCATGAGTCATAGGTTCTGAGGTCTTCAGCTGTGTGTTCCGTTGGGGTTTATCCAGGGTAGTGATTCGAAGGACGTGACTAAGCAGCAAGAGCCATATGAAGGGTTAGGGATCCGTGTAATTATTGTTTATTTGTGCTTATTTTCATTTAACGGGGGAAGTTAACTTTTACTAACAGCTTATGCAAACATGCTATGAATGGCCCAGTCATGTAATCACTTTAATTAAGGTTGGGGAGGGTTTATTTGCTTAGGTTATACACAATATGTAAGTTTTCCTTCTTGCCTGAAATGAACTTCCGTTACCTCCCATGACCTTGTGACTGTTATCTAAACCTATGGGTTAGAACGGCCTTCTCTAGGGATGGGAAAATATGGAAGCTTGTCACTAGCATCTCTTTAATCTTAATCCACCTTCTCCTCTGCTCTGGCTCTCTATATCTCTGTTTCAGACTCCTGCCTGTTGTCTAGTGTGGGCGTACAAAACGATTCAGCAGGTAGGAGCGCAGCATTAATCATGATGTCCTGCTTCGTAAAGGGTTGGTGACTCTGCAAGCAATTCCTGCACACAGCTCTGTTTCATCTCAGGCTGGAGTTGATGAATTACACTGGCATCTGCTTTCTTTGTCATCTCTGTAGCTCTACCAGTCACTTGGGATTGTCCAATAAGGTTTTTGAAGCCTGGTAACAATACCAATATGCCAATATATTTAGTTTGAAGTTTTTTTAATGGTTCATAAATAGACTTTCATGTGACACCTGATGCTATGTATGGTATAGGAGAATCTGGGATTTGTCATCCCATTAAACATACAAAGTTTTACAAATTAAGAAATGGTGAAGCCTCTATTACCTCAATACAAAAAGATTTTGCTGTCTAATTTCTGGTTAAAGGGGCACCCAAACATTTTTTTTGAAAGTCAAAGTCAGTTTACTCGTCATAATTATAAGTTAAATAATGTCCTCTGTGTCCTTTCTGATGAAGCTTTGTCAAGTCTGAGAAAGTGGCTGATGATGTCATCAGGGTTATCTCAGCTATCTATAAATGTTAGCAAGCCTAGAACTTGCTAGCACTAGTCAATCACGGCAGCTTTCAAAGTTGTGAATGAATCTGCCAGTTGCTGTGAATCAATTGAAATAAACACAGTTTGCTGCAAAATTTCACTGTTTGAATTGCAGGTGTTTAAATATCTCGGACTCTGTTGCTTCAGTTTTTACCTTTTTTTGTCATTTGCCATTTCCTAGTCTTTGTGTTGGTGTAAAACTAAAACTCAGGCGTACCCCTCTGATAAAGGCCCAATTTCCAATACATCCACTTACTGATTTATATCAGTATCAGATATCTTCTTACGCTCTTTATCCCAACATCTGGAGCTTTGCTTTCATACAATGCTGGGAAGGAAACCTTAGTTTAACGTCACTGTCCCTCCTTATTCCAAGACAATTTATCATTAAATATACGTCAGTGTCATTTTGGGAATGTCCAGCTCTGTTATTGCATCTAATCTCAGTTCATGTTTTATATACATATTTCACTGACTCTTGTATTGTTTTATATCACATCTACTGGAGTTCATTTGGGTTAGGTCTGGCCTGCCAGAGGGGCGGTTGTAGTGAAAGTTTTATTTCTAGCACTCATAACATTTGTTTTCTTCTTACACTTCCAATTTAACTCTGCGCCCTTTACAGAAAACAAAATGTGCCACTTACAGCGGCAATAAAAATGTTTCTCCTTTTCAATAAGTAAAATATTGTAGCAAAGAGGGAGCAGAAGGCCCAAGGTGAAGATCCACATTGTACAGCCTCAAATGGAAGACTTGTGTCTTTTTTTGAGGCAGTGGATGTACAATTGAAAAGCAGACATTCATTACACATCATGGATCCAACTTGGAACACCCTGTTTTTGCCTTTGGGTACTTCATCATTCAATGTGTATTACAGGGTCTGGCTATGAAAGGTGGCCATTACTTGAAATCAGTGTTAGCTCAATGTCAACACCTTACACCATTACAATCCAAATTATTTTTTAAAACCCCTGTCTCTGCACCCATAATCTGCCCCTCATTTAAGATGATGTTTTCACTCCAGACTTGGACTTAATTTCGCCATGTAAACCAAGTTGGAATTACACACGGTAGTACATGGACTACTTGTAAAGCCACAGACATATTTGTTTAACAGTTTGCCAGCTTTGGTGGAAAATATGACAGAGTAGAAAATTTGCAGGTTGTTTAAAATGACCCAATTACTGTTTTCAGAGGGGGTTTAAACATTTGGGACAGTAATCAGCGAGTTGAAATGCGTTTTGTCTGTCCATGTCTACTGAAAGCAATCAAGAGTCAAAACCAAGTGCCATTAGAAGTCACTGGGAATGCTTCTTGAAATTACAGTGGGGAATAATTGTAACTTGGAACACCCAAAAGTCTTTCAGCCCTCCCATCCTCTGTTATCTCTAAATATGGCATTCCAAGAATACACAAATGGCTACTAAATAGGCACATAGTACTTCACAGGGAAGAGTGTACATGGAGGTGATGGATACATCTGTCAAAGAACATGCTTTCATTGTGAACTGGACCCCCTGATTTTCTTGCAATGTCAATCCAAGTTGAATTAAGTCAGACAAAGCATACTCTTTGTGCACCTAAGCCTTGCCAGAACTACTCACTCATGTTGGAATAACAAAGAGGAATGTTTGACCGTGTCATTTATAATGCCAGTGTGAAAACTTCAGTAAAATGTTTCAGTTATTGTCATCGTGTCTATCATTCTGGTCGCACTGTCTTTGGTTGTTGAGTCCCCAGGTTCCTTTCTGAGCAGACAGTTGCAAAGCTCTGAAGTATTTGGGAGTGCTTGGGCAAACTGACAGACAGCAGTGAGCTAGACTGGAACAGGGGGTTATTTATGCATCGCGTGGAGGGAAAGGACATTTGTTAATGTCAGAATTAAAGCAAAAAAACGTTGGAGTTGAGGGAGCCAAATAGAAAAGAATGCCACATAAAACGCCTTCAACACAACACCCAAGCAGAAAAATACATACCGAACATTTGCCTGATTGACCACTTTTACAAATATTGCTCTTAATTCTGTGAAGAAACTCAAGTCGGTGGACAGCAAGTCTTAAAGTGCGTAATCAGTTACAGATTTAAATAGGATGTTCTAATGCCTTGCTGATGATTTGTTGATTTGGTGCTATTCCCCTCAGTTGCATGTCTTCCCCTCAGGTCCAGAGTTGTGATAGCTTGATGAAAAGACTGTGATGAAAACTCTGGGATAATATAATTTTTGGTGGGGTGCCATACAGAGCTCTCAGGTTGGTTCATGATCCAGCAAGGGAAACCTGGCCGGGCTTATGGTTCACAGCTGTGCAGCTGGGAGCGCGTGCCAACTCATCACTGTCTGCAGTGTGAGGAACTCGGCATTTTCTAGCATTTTTACTTGATATTATCCTCTGCAAATGAATTTAAATGCCTCTTGGCTATTAGTATCCTCTCCTTTCCAGTTTGGTGTAACTGCAAGAAGGAAAGGCTCTAGATGATGCAAAATATGAAAAGCTGAAAAGCATACTGAATATTGTCACATTACAAAGAAAGCTGCAGAGTGAGAAAGACAGTAAATCAGCATACAAAAAATAACTGCAAACATATTGTTCCTTAAAAAAGATGCAGTTACCTTTTGAGGCCAATCAGTGGGATTTTATT